GAAACTTCAATTTTAGATAATTAATAATGAGCAACAGGATCATTTAGCCTATTAATATACAACTGATATGAAGCCAGTGATATAAATCCAGTTAAGATTAACAGTGACTAAAGATTCAGACCATTGTAAGTGCGGTTTAGTACTCTCACGGAATAATGAGCTTGCTTCAATCCACAGGGCCGAGCTCTTTCATTGCCTTACATAAATACCTACATTTACATGAATATAAAAACTTCACCATATGATCTGAGAGCACTTTGACAGTTAACTTTATAACTTTACCTACTTGTCTATAAACATACCAGGTCTGTATGTCTACAGGTATCTCCATTTCCTGCAAAGCTGGTGCCTGTTTACTTCGAGGGATCTCTTGTCTACAGAGACACCTTGCAACTTCTTGCTAGATACTTTTTATCATCTTTGTATTCTCAGTACCTTACTCAAACTGACTGTAAGTTTTACAGTCTGTGCATTTGGGGTGGCACCATAGCAAGAAATCTTTCAGTTTAGTCTCCAGCTTATGCCTCTAGAGCAAAACAATAGTACAGTACCAACGAAAACCTACTGGACTCTTCTACTAATGATTAAAACCTCAGTATCTTAAAATTAATTTTGCTCTACTTCATCATTCAATCTGTGAAGTTAACTTGATAACCCTTTCTGCTTTTACAATGAATATTTTTCTCCTGCTACTTAAGTGTTCTTTGAAAGGATCAGGTTTTGCTCTGTAAGCTATATTCAACTATGCTTAACAAATAACTCTTCACACTGGATTAGTTTAAATGCAACTTCCTATGGTGTTTGCAAAATCTGTTTTATTGGCACATCTGAGCTTATAATGACATCAACTCTCTCATGGTCTTTAATGATATAAAATATCTTGCTTTCCTAGCAAAAACAATTGTATGGATCAAATAGCACCACAAAAGCTGAGGTTAATGCCTTTTTTTTTACCTGCAATACAGCACAGGACTTTAAATACCTCACCACATATGCATTACTGTCAGCTGCAAAGGCGGTTCCACGCTGCAGACTTATTTTCAGACGCAAGACCGCAATACCGCAATACTGCAGTATTCATATGCAGTGAAAGAGGAATCTAAGCAAAGAATGGTCCATGATGTGCCTATATATAGGCCTACTGAAAAGGTTTGCCTATATGCCAGCCAAATCCTTTTGGAGTTGTTTCTCAACTGGGACATCAAGCTGTGCAGGGCAATGGTCTACAGATACTTCATGTGTGGAGTGTTTCTTATATGTCCACACCCTGGCTTTTGATCCCTGTCTTGCACGTTCAGTGGTGCTACTTGATGAAAGACAGTAAGCAACTTTAGAGGATAACCTTATTCATTGTCTCTTGAAATGACCAATAAATGAGCTTGAGGGGGGGGTGGGGGGGTGGATAATGTATTAATGATGTATAACTGAGCAGACACGTACAACCAGCACGTACAACCACTCTTCTGTTTTGTGGAGATTGTATCCTTCCTTTTACCTTTTCACACTGCTTGTCAGTCACTACCCACTGTGAATGGTCAGTTAAACCATGTATTATTGTTACTGTCTCATAAGTGAGCATCTGGAATTCTAACACCCACTCCTCCCCCCTTTCTCCCCCGAAGAAAGATCCTTTCTTGCTGTTTTTGAAGCAGTTCCCCAGAGAAACCAGACAGCAGTATGAGATCTTCTGAAACAGGAGCATTTGAATCACACTGAAATTACATAGATGTCAACATCTGATATACTGAAAGTGCTTTCTAACCAGACAGGGTGTAGGTTTTAATGGAGTAGCACAAAACTGGCTCTGGTCCATTATACTAAACATTTTGTAACACTTTCCTTTTGGCATTTAAGCAGTATTTCAGATTTTAAGTTAATATATGGACTGAATCCTAGTGCCCAAGTTTTGTTTTACTCTGTAAACCACTGGCTTATTTAATGCAGGAAGCGTAATTTGTCAATTTGACAGAAGAGGTATTTGAGGAAACAACTAATTTATATTAGCTAGTGGGTGGTGAACAAAAGCTTCAGGTGTGGTGAAAATGTATTGTTGGTATCTTCTTTACCACTCTAATTACGGTGAATAAATGGATCCAAAGGAGGAGACAGGATGAAACAAGGCCGGTCAATACATGCCTCTCCCTCGCCTTCCCTGCAGTCAAAAGAGAAAGATTGCACTTATCTGGCCTCCTTGAGTATCTATTCCTTGCTGGAGGTTAAATGAAAAACTCTTGTATTCCTACTTTTATGCTGACCCTAAACTTGTGTCTTGACTCTACTGTTTCTGGCTATATGGATAGTTCTTCAAGTCAATGGGAAAATTGTCATGAAAAAGGGCTGCTCACATGAATGAGGTTTGCAAGATCAAGCTCTTCATGATCAGTATAACCCTGGGCATCGGGCTGATATGGCATCCCTGATTTACAAGAGTAATCCTATTAGCATCACAGGAACAATTCACATGAGTAAGAACGGTGAGAATGGGCCCCTGAGGAGTGACTATCACCAGTTATGTATCTAACCTCACTTAGATCACGGCAGTTCTCAAATGTTCTACAGGCACTTTATACTGCTAGTGAACTTTGAGAAGAAAATAGACCTTGAGCACAAGTTCAATTCCGCTTTACTATGGCCGCAGTTTTCCACTCAGTCTCATCACCGCTCTTAAGTAGTTCAAGGCCTGCAAGAAATAGTGGTTTGTTTTTTCTTTCTCTTTCTGCATTTTATTTCTTTCATTTATTTTTATTTTTTTCTCATTTTCTCTTTTCTTTTTCATTTTTTTCCCTTCCCTTCTCTCACCCTGCTCCTGCCCTTCGTTTCATTTATCTTGATTTTTCTTTTCCTTTTTTTTCTCCCTTACCCCCTTCTTTCATTTACCTTGATTTTCATTTCTGTTCTCCTTTTCTCTTTTTAAATCTTTTATCTTTTTTTTTTGTATTTTTTCTCCTTTCCCTTCCCTTTTTATGTCTCCCTTCTCTTCCCTCTGCTTTCTTCTCTTCTTAATCATTTCTCCCTTCCCTCCACTTCCCTCCCCTTCATTTATCTTGATTTTTCTTTTCTCCTTTTTTTTTTCTCCCTTCCTTTTCTTTCCCTTCCCTCTTTCATTTACCTTTTTTCTCTGTTCATCTTTTATAATTCTTTCATTTCTTCTCTACCCTTCCCTTCCCTTTTCTTTCATTCTCCATCTTTTCTTCCTTCCCTTCCTCTTGATTTTTTTTCTATCTTTCCTCATATTCTCTTTAACTCTTTTACTCTTCCAGCTTTTTTTCTCTTTTCATTTTCTCCCTACCCACCCTTCCCCTTCCCTTTTCATTTACGTTGAGTTTTTTCTCATTTTCATCTTGCATCCTCTTTCATTTTTCCTTTCCCTTCCCCTGCCACCCTTCACCTCTGCTTCCCTTCCTTTCCCTTTTCTTTCACCCTGATTTTTTTCTACTTTATAATTTTATTTTAATATTTTATATTTTTTCAGTTATACCCTTCTCTTTCCACCTCTCCCTTTCCTTTTTTTCATTTATCTTGATTTTTTCTTTTTTCCCTTTCAACCTCTTTAATCTTAAATATTTTGCTTTTTCTTTTCATTTCCCTCTTGATTTTTTTCTCCTTTATCTTTCTTTTACTGTTATCATTTTTTCCCTTCCCTTCTCTTCCCTCCCCTCCTTTTTTTTCTTTTCTTGCTTTCCTTCCCAGCCCTCCCTTCCCCATCATTTACCTTGATTTTTCTTTTCTCCTTTTCTCAACTTGTCATCTTTAACTTTTTTTCTCCCTTCCCTTGATTTTTCTTTTTTCTCATTCTTTTCTTCCTCTTTTTTTTTTCTTTTTCCTCTCATTCCCCCCTTCTCTTCTCTCCACTCTCCTCCTTTCCAAGTTTTCTCCCTTCCCCCTCCTTCCCTTCCCCTCCACTCTCTTTCCGTCCACTCTTTCATTTATCTTTGATTTTTCTTTTATTTTCTCTTTTTTTCTTTCTTTTAATCTTAAATCTTTTACTTTTCCCCCTTCCCTTCTTTCATTTATCTTGAATTGTCTATCTTTACCTATTTTCTTATCTTTCTTATAATCTTTTTTTTTTCCACTTTTTTCCCTTTCCACCCCACCCCTCTCCTTTCCTTCTTTCATTTATCTTGAATTGTCTATCTTTACCTATTTTCTTATCTTTCTTATAATTTTTTTTTCACTTTTTTCCCTTTCCACCCCACCCCTCTCCTTTCCTTCTTTCATTTATCTTGGGTTTTCTTTTCTCCTTTTATCTTTTTTTCAGCTTTATTTTAATCTTAAATCTTTTTTTTTTTTCCTCCCTTGTCTTCCATTCCCATCCCTTCCCTTTTTTATCTTCATATTTCTCTTTTCTCTTTTTCATCTTTCAATCTTTTAGCTTTTTTTTTCCTCTCATTTTTCCCTTCCCTTCTTTCTTTGATCTTGATTTTCCTTTCCTCTTTTATCCTTTTCTCTTTCATTGTTTCATCAAATCCTGCAGTGCAAGTAGAAGGAGTCAGTGGCCTGCCCTGATGTTCCTCTACCGTTAGGCTTTGCAAAGCAACGTAGTGCATATTGATTGGACCAGCGCTGATGGCTTAGCAATGAAAGCATTTGTAGGAGTTTTTCCTTTCAGATGCACCCAAACAACGTAGGGGCCCAAAGTACTGAGACTTTAGGCGCTTTACAGTCTTTCAGATAGTCTTCGGGCCAACTGTTGCTTGTGGAATCGCTGGACACGGCCTGTGAGGATGACTGCCTGGGTCACAAGTCTCTGTTTTCCTAAGGGAGCTCAGACAGGCGGGGGTTTGCTTGATTGTTTTGTCTGCCTTTCCTTCCGCCCTCCCAGGTTATGTTCTCGGGGGTCTGGGCCTCACCCCGGCCCTTCCTTGGTGAACCACCACCGACTAACCGCCACAACACCGGCCCTGAAGGCCTCTGCGTCCAGCGGCTCCATCGGGGCAGCAACCATCCCCCGCGGAGAGCCAGGCCAGGACCCGCCTCCGCGCCCGCAGGGGCGAGGCGAGGCGGGGCCGCGCCCGGCCGTGCCGTGCCCCGAGGCGGGTGGAGGCGCAGTGCCCGACCGGTATCAGTGCGGTTGGCCGCAGTGTCTGCGCTCTACGACGGGACGGCTGTCGAGGTGCGTCGTCGCTGCGTTATGGCGGCTCCCGCTGCAGGGAGAGAACGGGAGGTTCCTCCAAATCCTTGCCCGCCGCCTTCCAGGCGCGAAACTCTCTGTGGGTGCGGGGCGGGGATGGCGCTGGGCCAGGGGACGCTGGAGCCTGTAGCCCCACGCAGTCGGCGGGCAGTTGTGATGACGGGGGTCGGCCCTGTGTCCGCTTGGATCGGTGGGGCAGCTCTCCGGGGGGGTGGTGGTGGGGGGGGGGGGGAGGCTGGGTCCCGCAGGGAGTGTTGACGAGGCGGGAGCAACCGGGCCGCACGCTAGGCGGCTGCGATAAGCGCGCGGGTTTGGGGTAAGGGGCGGTGCCAGCTCAGCTGCATGCAGGACGTGCGTGTTTGGAAACGGAGCTCAGAGTGGAGTGGGGCTGATAGCGGCGGTTTGGGAAGTGGTGTTGCGACAGCAGCCCATGGAAGGCTGACCCGGTGCTAATGTCGCCGATTACATGTCGCGTTAGTCTGCCCTGGGATGGGGGCCTTAGCACAGCTGTGTTCCTGTTGAGGGCACGGCAGCTCAGGTGTCTTTTAGGTCCCTTTACATGCGATCTAGACTTGTGCACTTAACCAGGCTCAAGTTTTGCATTCGCACCATGGAAAGGCGGTGTAATACAGCCTGTGTGATCAGGCTATTTGTTGCCTAAGGATATTCCTTCAAGCCCTATCCAGTTTTAGTATGTGAGGCTTATTTTTTGCAGTTCTGCTGGTGTTTAATCTATAACTAATGTGGTATGCTTCCTTGTCACAGTGAAAGCAAGGCCTGGGCTTTATGACAGTTTGGAGAGGCCCCCCTTACTAGTAGGGGAAATGGGTAAATGTGTAGTTCTAGAGATGGTGGTGGACGGTTTCTCATGACTTTATATAGTCCCTGGATGTATTCAGCATAGCTTTAAAATACAGCAGAGAAAAACACTCTTGATGCCATGAATTTACTTTATTTTTGATGTGTGAAACTATGTGAGTTTTCTGCTGTGATACAGTTAAAAATTGCAGTTTCTTTCTGTTGCTGAGAAAAACCTTTGCTAAATCGCTGGTTGTCTCCAGAACTGGTGGACTACAGTGTGAGTAGAGGGAGAGTTCTGGATTTCCTATAGTCCCTGGACCCCAGTACTTGGCCCATGGCCCAAGCACTGTTTTAGAAAGGATAAAAGAGGGTGCAAAATCCCATCACTGCAGCCAGACATGTCCATGCAAGGCTAGATTTGTTTCAGTGAGCAAACAGCTGCCTACCTCCATGCTGCCCACTTCCCCAGCAAGGATTTGCCTTCAGAGCAAGAGTCTTCTGCTCTTGGTTTGTTTAGTTTCCCTTGTTTGGCTATAGCTGACAGCAATCCTGTGCAGAAAGCACAATGAAAGATTGTTAGAGCTGTAATCAAGTTAATAACAGTATTACCTTTTTATTATACAGGTAATAATTGTATTACCTGTTTTATTCTTGTTAAAATTACATCCTAGGAAATAAGTTAACTGTAACAAAAAGTGCATTTATTTTGGTCTCTAGTGAAGCTGAGACATTTTAGTTTTATAGATTCCTAATTGGCAAGTGCATGATTTAAGTATTTGGTGAGGCAAAAGCCTTGCTCTGTGCAGAGCACAAATTGAGCGTGCAAGGGGGCATGCTTTTCATTTTACATGCATTCAGTCCTCATCACATTCTTATCATTATAGTGTTCATAAAAGGTACCACCTTCATAGAATTGTGAGTTTGGTATGGTCTCATGGAAAGAGACTTCATTAGTTTAAACCTCCCATGATAAAAGAATAAATAGTTCTCTTATTTTTTGTCATTACAACTTAATCTTTGCCCGTGAATCATGCTAAAAGCAATTTTTAAGAACAAGGTCTCAAAGGAGAAAAACACATGTTTAACTCAGTTTGATCACAAGCTGTTGCTGGGTAGGATTATTGGTTATTTTGAAAGCTGAAGTGCAATTATAATTGTGTAATTTTGCAAAAAAGGTATACAATAATCTTTTTCCTCTTTAAACACTACAGTATGTATAGCATGTTATCACACTCATTCTATCCTGGTAACTGCTTAGTTAAATTCACTGGTTCAAGTTAATTGGTCTAAAATTGGTGTGTTATTTCAAAAGTACTAATTTCTGTGACTAAATTTTGTTTCTGCAATTACATTAAGTCTTTTGGTGGTTTATATTTTGACAGTTTAATAAGCAGATATAATGAAAGCTAAATAATATAATTTCTCATCTTAAAGTATTATATCATGCCATTGTGAAAATAAAGTGAGGAAAATACATTTGATAATAAACTTGTCACGGTGGCAAAATTGTGCTGTTACTGCAGAGATGCTAAAAAAAGGCTGTTCTGACAATCTTATTGTCAGAACTTTGGATTGGTATGATGTTAGTCTAACTTTAATGTTCTTTAAAAGGTCATCAGTGAAAAGTGGAGAAATGGCTAGACTGACCCAGTTTGTTGACAATGAAGTTTTCCGGGCTTTTGCTACTTATGCGACTATTGTCGTTCTGAAAATGATGCTAATGAGTGTTACAACATCATACTTCAGACTCACGAGAAAGGTAAGAAATTGGGAATGCTGTCTGATAGAATAGATTGAAAATTTGCATGGAAATAATATCATAAGTGCTCAGCTTTCAAATACTGGTGCTGTGCTTTGTTCCTCATCCATCTAACAATGATATTCTGAGTTTGGTGTGCTGGTGCTTTGTTGGTCTCAAATGGACTACATCTTTAACCTAATTATGATATAATTATGAGACTGTATCTTACAGTTGAATTTTTGGCTTATTTGGCCTTTATAAAACATTTCTGTTATTTTAAAATAAAGAGTTTTTCATAACTGTAATTTCCACTGTCTTCTGAAGAGCTGGTGTCCAGGGTACCCAGTTTTTAAAGCAAATAAAGCATGATGCTACATAGATAACCAGCTAGTAGGTTCAGAAGAGGGAATATAAAGTCGATTTTTATGCATCCGTAACCCTTTCATCCAGTAATTCTAAAGCTCTTTACATTCTCTAGTTGTTTTAGCCTTCCCATTGCAGGTAAGTCATTATCTAAAAGAAAAAAAATAAAATTTTTTCTAGAATGTGAGGCAGGCTGAAAATTTATGTGGATTGAGGTGTAGGCTGCATAAGAAAGATCCACTGAGGTTTGCTAAATAATGCAGAAGCATGGAATAATTGCATCTAGCTTTAGAGAGGGTGTTCATGGGAAGTATTGTGCTGTGTTTGCCCTGTTCTTGGTCTTTAGGCATCTGCTCATGGCCACTAGCGAAAACACTTGGTCCTGGGCTGAAAGAGCCCTGAGTTTGCCTGATATGGCTATTCTTGTGAGATGTGGTTTTGTGAGACAACATGTGCTTCAAGGATTTTGTTGCAGTCCTTTCATTTGTCCTTTTGCTGTTGTTTTTTTTTTTTCCTGCTTGGTACAAGATAACTCAGATGAACTGTTCTGTTGTTAATGAAGTCCTAAGACCATTTGAGCTACTACTGGGTTCTGATAGCTATCTAGGTCTTTGAAATGTCTGAAGACTGGATATAGTAGAGCACACAGCCTGTCCTTTATGCCCAGAATAGGACCCAGATGTCTGTGTTGTAGCCTTACTTGCTTTTGTTCTTGCAGAAGCATATTGGCTGTACTGGTCCTACATGTACATCCAGTCATATCCTGTGTTTAACATTTGTAACCGTGTTATGATCCATATGTATGTAGGTGCCAATAGGGCCTTCCTTATTTTGAATAAGGAAGTACTTGGTTTTCTTATGACAGACAGTGATACTACAAACAGACAAATTATTGAAGTCATTTCCTATGTAATATTTAAAAGTCTTTAAAATGTTAACCCAAAAGGAGGAAGCCAATTACGGAGTGAGAGAAGGTAAAATGTTGCTGATGCTTATGCTTTTAATGTGTCTCAAGAATTTTGAGGCCAGTTATTTCACAGGAAGGCATCAAGACTGCCTCAGAAAGCAATCATGTAGCTCTCCTAAAATCAGTTTTCTTGACTTACACTTGCATAGCCTGAATGGTCCACACAAGGCAGGTGTTACTACATGTGTCAGCAAGGAGGGATCTACTAACTAGCTAAATTAAATACTGTTTTTAAGTAGTGTCTTACAGTATTTGGAGGTAGTAACAGGTCATATAACTAGAAAAATTTGTACCTAAGAGGAAAGGGAGAAACTTACTTGGTCATAAATGAAGATGGCAGTAAGTCTCTCAGATCCTGTTGCTGTTTAGACTTCTGAAGAAGGAAGGGATCCAAAAAGGCTTTCAGATAACTTGTCAAAAATAGTGAAAAAGAGACTTCGGCAGTACAAGCAATAGTTCTTCCTTACAGGTCCCTGTGTTCCTTCAGCCCATTGGCATTACTTCAGGCTGAGTATCAGTCATCTGCAGTGGTTGTTGATCTTACAAGAAGGTTTTATCTGCATGCATAAATTACATTACATTAATTTGTCAGCACACAAGCACAGGGTAGGCTCAAGAAAACAGTAATGCAGTGAACAATATATTATTCCCCATGCATTTAGCTTCAGGTAAGTTATGTGAGGTCCTAGAGGCATTAGTAAAAAGAATGACCTTTATAGCAAACTGCCTTGACTAGAAGAAACGTTTGGCTACTAATGTCTCTTGTGGTTTTGGATTTGAAATAGGCCTTTGACAACCCAGAAGATACAGCATCGTTTGGAAAAGGCGAAAATGCTAAAAAATTTGTGCGGACTCATCCAGATGTTGATCGTGTACGCAGGTAATGCTTAGGAGTCTTAAAAATATATTTGAAATAGCAGAATAGTACTAAATCAGGGAATTAATTTCACCATATTCTCTTTGGCAAGCCTGTGTCTGTTTTGTGTTGGTTTATGTAGTAATCTAATACATAAATTTGTTTAAATGAAAAAATGTTTACACAGTCAAACAAGATAATAATACTAAAAATAATAACTCTTTAATCATCACATCATAAAATGGTTAGGGTTGGAAAGGACCTTAAGATCATCTGGTTAAAATCCCCCTGCCATGAGCAGGGACTCTTCGCACTAGACTGTGTCACCCAAGGTTCTGTCCAGCTTGGCCTTGAAGACTGCCAGGAGTGGAGCATTTGCCACTTCTTTGGGCAGCCTGTTCTGGTTCCTGTTCCAGTCCTCACCACCTGCACAGTAAAGAATTTTGTGCTTATATCTAACCTGTACTTCCCCCCTTTAAGTTTAAACCCATTATCCCTTGTCCTGTTGTTACAGTCCCTGATGAAGGGTCCCTCTCCAGCATCCTTGTAGGTTCCTTTGAGATATTGGAAGGCTGCTATGAGGTCTCCATTCAGCCTTCTCCAGGATGAACAGCCCCAGTTTTCTTCACTCGTCTTTGAATGGGCGGTACTCCAGCCCCCTTGTCATCCTTGTGGCCCTCCTCTGGACTTGCTCCAACTTATGATAGGTACACCAGAACTGCACACAATACTCCAAGTGGGTTCTCACGAGAGCAGAGTAGAGGGGCAGGATCACCTCCTTCGGCCTGCTGGCCACACTTCTTTTGATACAGCCCAGGATATGGTTGTCTTTCTGGGCTGCAGTGCACACTGCTGGCTCATGTTCAGTTTCTCATTGACCAACACCCTCAAGTCCTTCTCCACAGGGCTGCTCTAAATCACTTCTCTGTCCAACCTGTAGCTGTGCCTGGGATTGCCCTGACCCAGGTGTAGGACCTTGCTCTTGGCTTGGTTGAACTTCATGAGGTTGGCATCAGCCCACCTCTTAAGCATGTCAGGGTCCCTCTGGATGGCATCACTTCCCTCCAGCATGTCGACTGCACCATACAGTTTAGTGTTGTCAGCAAACTTGCTGAGGGTGCACTCAATTCCACTGTCCATGTCACTGACAGAGATGTTGAACAGGATTGGTCCCAACACTGACCCCTGAGGGACACCACTTGTTACTGGTCTCCATGAGCCATTGGACAACATGAGCCATTGACAACTCTCTGCGAACAGCTAATTCTTTGTCCACCAAGTGGTCCATATGTCAAATAGACATCTCTCCAATTTAGAGACAAGGGTGTCATGTGGTACGGTGTTGAACACTTTGTTCAGGTCCAGGTGAACGATGTCAACTGCTTTACCCCTGTCCATCGGTTCTGTAGCCCCATCATAGAAGGCCGCCAGACCAGTCAGGCATGATTTGAAGTGAAGCCATGCTGGCTGTCAGCAGCATGTTGTTTTTCATGAGCCTTAGCATGGTTTCCATGAGAATTTGCTCCATGATCCTGCCAGGTACAGAGGTGAGACTGACTGGACCATAGCTGCCTGTGTCTTCCATTTTGCCCTTCCTGAAAATGAGGGTTATATTTCCCTTTTTCCAGTCTTCAGGAACATCACCTGACTGCGGTGATTTTTCAAATATGATGGACAGTGGCTTAGCAGCTTCATTTCACCAGGTCCTTCAGGACCCGCAGATGGATTTCATCAGGTCCCGTGGAATTGTGCGCATTCGGGCTCCTAAGATGATCTCGAACCTGATCCTCTCCTACAGTGGGCCCAAGGTCTTCATTCTCCCAGTCCCTTCTTGCCTTCCAAGAGTTGAGTGGCATGGGCAAATCACTTGCCAATGAAGACTGAGGCAAGTGATTGAGAACTTCAGGCTCCTCCAAATCCAGGGTAGTCAGTTCTCCTGTTAGCTTCTGGAGAGGGCCCACATTACTTGTAGTCTGTCTTTTGTTTGCGATATACCTACAGGAGCCCTTCCTATTACCCTTGACATCCCTGGCCAGAATCAATTCTAACTGGGCCATAGCTTTCCTGATCTGATCTCTAGCTTCCCAGACAACATGCCTGTATTCTTCCCAGGCTGCCTGTCCCTTGCTTCCACATTCTGCAAGCTTCCCTTTCTCAGTTTTCTCAGCAGCTCCTTACCCATCCATGGAGGCCTCCTGGCCTTCTTGCCCCATTTTCTTCTTGTCGGGACACAACGCTCCTGAGCTCGGAGCAGGTGATTCTTGAATATCAACCAGCATTCTTAGGCCCCCCTGCCCTCTAGGGCTATATCCCATGGAGCCTTACTAAGCAGGTTCCTGAAGAGCCTGTCTTCTCCCTTGAAGTCCAGAGCAGTGAGCTTGCTCTGTGCCTTTCTCACTGCGCTGAGGATCTCAAACTCCACCATCTCGTGATCATTGCAGCCAAGGCTTCCCTGGAGCGTCACATTCCCCACTAGCCCCTCCCTGTTGGTGAGCATGAGGTCAAGCATGGCACCTCTCCTTGTCGAGTTATAATAGCTAACTCTTGGATGGTATCCTGTATGCATGGAGGAGATGGTGAGAAAATTGTAAAATATGACCATAAGTTGATTTAGTATGAAACAGTATCCGTTAGGTGTAAATGAGGTATCTGTGTAATTTGAACACCAGTTGCAATATTGCATCTTTTTCTAAAGTATAAAGAAAATAATACGATGAAGAGGAGTAACTATGTTAAAATCGTAGAACTCCAGACTTGTAATGAGAAAGTTAATCTGGCAAATGGTACAGAGTGGGAGTCAAAGCTTGTGTTCCTGTTGCCGGATTGAATTGAGCTTACTCAACAGTGTGTCAATTGTACAGGGAAGTTGACTAGCCTTCTGGAAGAATGCCGTTAATAGTATGGCAGAGCGCAACCTGTGGTGTATGTGTTTTCTTTTGCAAGATTCGTGGCAGAATGTAAACTGTATTTCAAGTGGGCTAAATATTGCAGCTTATTTAATTTTATTTAGCTGAAGGCAAAATTTTCTGCTACCAAAATCATAACTTTCAAGATGCTACTAGCAAGGAATGCTTTCCATATTTTATTTGTGAATGGAGCTCACAGTTTATTTGCTATATATATTTTTATACTAAAAGCTTGAATGTAAATGAACTGTTCTCATTTAAACCACCATTAGGGAAGATCTTGAAAATAAGTGTTAGCTCTGATTTAAGAACAGTTCATCCTTCAAATGTACATGACTATGGTTTCATGAAGGGTGGTAGTTTCTGTATGTCTCTTTTGGAATAAAATCACAGAAAGAAGAGTGTAATCTCAGTGGGCTGTAAAGATGCTTTGAACTTTCCTTTTTCCCCCCGAGTGGTTCAGGAAGTTGTTAGTCAATAGAAATACGGAGAGGGACTTCTACAGAGAAATGTAGTGACAACACAAGGGGGGAGGCTTTAAGCTAAAAGAGAGAGATTTAGATTACACATAAGGAAAAAAATTCTTCACTGTGAGTGTGATGAGACACTGGAACAGGTTGTGGCTGCCCCATTCCTGAAAGTATTCCAGGCCAGGCTGGATGAGGCTTTGAGCAACCTGCTCTAGTGGAAGTTGTCCCTGCCCATGGCAGGGGGGTTGGTACCAAATGACCTTTAAGGTCCCTTCCAACCCAAACCATTTTATGTTTCTATGATTATTAAATCCTGTGTTGCTGTTTTGCAGAGTTGTTCAGACTTCCCCAGACCTAGTAAGTCAGCTTGGTTCTAGTTGCTCTCTGGTGTTGTAGCATCCGTGTTTTCTTCCCAAGAATGGTTCTTAATGGAAGTTTACTTTTTTGTCTTTTGCAAGTTTCATGGCAACAGATAATGCTGCATAGATCTAGCGTGGCTTCTCTTCTATATAAGTGACTAGAATTTGTTCTGTTTATGGGTATAGAAAAGATTACTTTCTTCAGTGTACTTTTTGGGGGAAAAAAGAGTAAAACGGCTGAAGGATATGTTTCCTTGTAATGATGAGTTCAGAATGCAGCTGCAAAACAGCACCATGTTCTGATTCTAGTTGGCTGTGAAATTTGACATAATTAGTAAGGCTTAGAGATTGTTTCAATCAGCAAATTTGGCTGGAAGCATAATTTATCTAAAGACGTAAAGGGAGTGGAGAAGGTTTAGGAAGAAGTGTGAAAAAATACTTCAAGATCTGGAGTTCGATCTCAACACATTTTTAGTAAATTATATTGTGGTTTCAAAATTTCAAACATTTTTCAGCTATTTTAGTGCTTAGTGGTGAAGAAAATGAACTAAAGCGTAACTGTCACACCTGTTAGATGCTCAAAAATAACATTCCTCTAGATGATTTAACTTCATGAAGAATTGATAGATTCATATATAGGATATTTCATATTTTCTTTATAGAGACTACGAACTGAGTTTATCGGATTGGAATAAATCATCTGGGCAGTGAAGTCTAGTAGTTGCAGTCACAGTCATCCAGTTAATTGAGGTTCAGTTAAGAGAGACTACAAGAATATTCCAGCTATCTGTCCCTACCTTTCCTTGCGTTCTTGCACCCAGATACACTTATATACCTCAAGTCAGCCCCTAATATTACCAGGGTCCTGGGGGAAAAGTTAGAGCTTTTATACAGAAGATCAGAAGCTTAAAAATGTGGGGTGCAGCAAGAAGCCCCAGAGTGATGCCAGGTAAACATGCCAAAAACATTTCAGTAGCTGAATCAAGTCCCCACTGCAGAGGAAGCCAACAGCTATGTTAGGGCCTTAACAGAAGCATGATCTCATGATGCTGAAAAATAATGAGCCTTGAAGTGGTTTATTCAACAAAACATAACAGTGTAAACCAACTTTGCTTCTTTCCCCAGATGCCACCTGAATGACCTGGAAAATATTGTCCCTTTTTTTGGCATTGGACTGCTGTACGCTCTTAGTGGCCCTGAGCTTTCCTCAGCCTTGCTGCACTTCAGGATCTTCACTGCGTGTAGGATCGTTCACACTTTTGCCTATTTGATCCCTCTTCCCCAGCCCAGCAGAGGTTTGTCTTGGGCAATAGGGTATGTGGTGACCTTCTCTATGGCATACAACATAATGAAGTCAGTGCTATACCTGTAGCAGAGTCATAGCTTCTGTATGCCATTTGACATTCCATACAAAGTTTCCAGCAGTGTATGTTGATGTCTTGAATGAGCCAGCATTCCATGGTGACTGGAATTAATTTTTTAACAGAGGCCTTTCTTTCCTGTTCAGAAGCATTTCTTTTTGGAAGGAAAAAAAAAAAGCCTTTCTCTTTGTATTCTCTATTCATGGGTTGCATTGCCAAAATAACTAGGTTGAGTGTTCCCTTTGTGATTTGTCAAGTGCTTACAATTCTAAACATGCAATGGTTCTGTATTGATAGCATGTGTGGTAATTTTCTACAGATGCACTATTTTTGGCTGTAGCTCTGAAGTCTACATCAATAAAGACAAGAGGAAAAATAAGCATGTTTGTATTTTTGTTTTCATTTTGACTCTTCTCAGTGCAGCCAGCAAATAGCATGTCACTATGTATCAGGAAGAAATTCCAATCATACAGTTCTTTGAAGAATGCTTACCTTAATAATAAGATATAACCAGTAATGCTAGGCTTGTTGTAAAAAATCTTTGATGAAATTGTTGTTTGTATAATCCACTTTGGGACTAAAAAAACCCAAACCATTGCAGCTCCATTTCTCTCAGTTGAATAGATAAAAAGAGAAAAAGTATATGGGCTCAACTCTGTATAGTGACACTGGTGAAAATTTAAAGCAATTCTTCTTGGTGAAGTTTATCCAGTCACAAAATCTGTGTTTGGATTAAGTGTAGGCCCTTTGAGAAGATTTATTTTATTTTATTTTTTTTAGAAATTCAGCATAAAATGAGCAACACTTGCAAATGTATCAAGCAGTTCAGATGTGAATACATAATTAGTTTGCATGTCATACTGTCATAAATATGTTGCTGATAGAAAATTTTGCTTTTTGCTTGTATCTTTCTGTGATGTGTTAATTTGAAATATTTTCTTTAAAGATTTTTCATAGTCTTTTATTTGTTTCTTTTTGGAGCTGTGGCTTAGATAATAGCTCAAGATTTCAAGAAAAAAAATACCCAGAAGAATCTCAATCTCCAGTGTACTTACCATTGATAAGATATAAGTGCAGAAGTAAGAGCACAGTATGTTTGGTTTACTTTCCTACCTCAGAAGCTGTGCTACAAAGGGATAGCCCAGAGAAGAGCTGGAAAATTCTCTCTGCTGCCTCTGTATGCCAAAGGGTTTGCTTTTCTTTTTGAATGGGTGAAGTAATTGTAGTACCACAAGACATATCACAGGAGGGTCTACCTGATAGCGTTTGTCATGCCTATTGAAGAAGAGAAGGGTGGGACTTGAAATCAAGAAGTTAACATTCGTTTACCAGAACTTAAATCTTAACTAATGACTGAAATAATAAAAGAGCTGGATCCTCTAGAAGGAGATGGTTAAGAAAGAAGGATTAAAAGTTGAGCATTGTGGAGCTTCAGTTCCTGACATGGAAGTGTAAGCACATGTCAACACTCCTGGGTTATCAAGGACTCCAATGGAAAATAGGGGCTTTCTTGTTTCTGCTCCTCGCGTCTTTCTCCACCACTTCCTACCTGTGCTGTTTTCCTCCTATTTTTTTTTTTTTCTCTGTTAGCTTTTCATGGAATCTTGAGGCCAGCTACCTTGAATAGTATCATGGTAACAAGGTAAGGTTGGCCACGGGCTCTTCCTAGCTTGAGAAGGACCGCTGATGGAGCGAGAAGGGGTGAGGCCGAAGCCTTGGGTTGGGGCCCAAACCAATTGTCAGAGTCAACCTGCCAGCTGACATTGGTCAGTAGGTGGATGCTCTTGACTCCTTATATTGTGATACCAGTATCTAAAGCTGTATTTCCCTCCCTTCTCTGTAGTTTGACTCTTTTTTTTCTAGCTCTATTTCTCTCCATTTAAAACAATGGGAAAGTGGCCACCATGGGCAGAGGGGCCCATTTGAATTTCAGCAGCATTGAAAGGGCCCTTCTGACAAGCCTAGTTGTCATTGCTAGACATATGCAGGAACAGCATTTTTAACTCTTTTTGCATCAAACTTCTGTGCAGAAATACCATTCTGAAGAGAAATACCTGGAGCCTGTCTTTATTTCTGTGATCTTACATTTAAAACAAAACTAGTTTTAAATCCCTTCCATTTGCTCAGTGGTTTCATACACTCACTATGTGCTGAGAAGTAGAAAAGACAAACTGAAACCCCTAGAAATACCTAGAGAGTGATTCAATATTATTCTGTGTTTCTCTTGCATTTATTTTAAACCTATATTTTATTTTCCTTTGCTCCCACAAATACCATCTGTGCATCTGGGTGGGGTAGGTGCTCAATCTGGGAAATCTGCTTTACCAGCTTTAGTCAAACTCTGACTGCCAGCTTTGTGGAAGTGTGTTGAAGTCAAACATATCTTGTGTTTCTCCAGGCCATGCTGTAGAGAGGTATACTTACTGGACCTGTTGTACAGCTGTAAATTTTAAAAGGTTAGCTTATTTTCAGGAGAACTAATAAAAAGAGTGTGTTAGTTGAATGTATTACTGAGCTAAACTGAATTTTCACGTTCTGAAACATGCACATGTGGATTTTGGACTGCACTTATCAGGTTCTGTTACAAAATCATTAAACAAAGTAATCTGTAACTCTGATGAAAGGACTGGCTGTTAGCAGGTATGCTACTTTTGACCTGGTGAAAGTGCAGAAAGGGCTAGTCCAAATAAGAAATACAAAATGAGGTCAAACCAACATCTAGGCTTCATTTCTGTTTCTTATGCCTGTTATTCCCACCACTAGTCTTAGGCAGACAGAAAAGTCACAAGTTTTCTTCTCTCTGCCAGTTATTCCTGGCATTTTATATTCTTATTTCTCCAAAGTACTTTAAGTATCTTTGAAATAGGTCTAATACTTGACCATGAGGTACTTTAAAATGCTAGCTGGCATAGCTTGACTTAGCTGTTTTTTCTCTGAGTGAATTTCATGGGCTGTTTCATTTTCAGAAGTGTAAACATGTAAGCAATTCCTCAGGTTTTTTTTGACTCTATGAGTAAATGCTTATGTGGCTTATAGCCTGAGTTACTTTGTCCTGGTTCTTATGGCTGCAGACAGTTGTGCTGAAGGCAGCTATGTGTCTTTCCAGTTACAGAAACAAATTCAATCTAGATTTTTTGGTGGAAAATGCTTGTATTGTATGTCCTTTTTAAAAGCAAAAAAATCAAAAGCAAAACTTTAAAAATACCCTTTTAAAAGTACCTATAATGTCTGTTATTAATCAAACTAACATGATTTTTATTTCAGGACTGAAATTTAGGAAGAATTTTTCTCTTTTTCCAAAACTTGTCCTGCCAACTGAGGTGACACATTGGGTGCTCTGTAAAAAGTTGTATTAACATACATTAAAATACTCTCACGATTAAATATCTCCAGCTGTTGGACACTTAAAAAAATACATCTTTGGGATTCACTTTAAGTGATTTTCAAAATTCAGAATCTTTATTAGTAACGCCCCCTCAAAGATTTTGAAGGCTAAAATCGATCATTAGCTCTTTCAGCCTGACCTCTAGTGGAAAACATGACAGGGAGTGACTGCCCTTCTGCTGAGGTGAGTTTAATCATAGCATGACTTCCAGAAGGGTGTGTGATCTTCATTCAGAGACTCTGGAAGACAGGTGATGACTCTTTTCTATGACACTGTTTCTTTCTGGAATATATGCACGCTAAACTTAGTCTTAACATAGTTTTTTTTTGTTGGCTTTGTTGTTTAGTTTTGGGTTTGTGTTTTGGTTTTGTTTCGGTTTTGGGTGGTTGTGGGGTTGTTTTGTGTGTGTGTGTCTTTTTGTGGGTTATTTGGTTTTGGTTTTTGTTGTTTTTTTTTTATCAAGGCAGTTATTATTGAATTATTGCAGTGCAATGAGTAATATGAAATATTTTAAACAGGTGCTTTCTTCCTAGAAAACACTCCTTACTCCTGTAAACGCTTGGAAGGCAAAAAATTTAGAGTCCCTTTCCACATGTAAAAAAAAAAATACTACTTTTCTGTTTTAAAAGTAGGTGTGAGAAATGTGAGATATAATGCCTGAAGTGTTTTTCTGTATAATAGCACTAGTTAAGCATTCTTAGGAGCACATGTTATGGATATGCACACATGGGACAGTATTCTGCATAAATGCTTGCAATGTATGAAGTTACAGCCATAATTCTGTGTCATAAGTCCTGTACGAAGTGCTACAGTGATGTAGGGCATCCGTTGCTGGCCTGGAGTGAAGCATCTTGAAGTGGATGCTTATAGGAGAGTGGAAAATGACATCTCCAGCACGCTTTCTTCAAAGCCTACTAAGTTGTAATATGGGCAGGGGAATGGTGGCTGACTGCTCTTAAGCCTCGACACAGCATTCCCAAGTACTGACCTGCATGCCAGGTGGCTGCTTTTGCCATGGTAACACATTTAAAAGTAACTTATTTTTATCCATTAAAGGACATTAGCAGTTGCCATGTAATCTGCACAGTTGAATGTTTTTATATGTAGCTCTTTGCCAGTGGATCCTAGAGTGCATCACCATTGACAGCATCTTTAATTTATTCTACATCTCGTATGTACTGATAGACTTTTGAGAGAACTAAGAAGAGGAAGTTGCAAGAAACCCATCTTCCTAAAGGAAAGTCTTTGTCTCATGGATACTGCTCTCCAGTTAGGGGGAATAAATACAGAAGTTAGCATCAGTGCTGCAGAAATAATAAGGATGGAGGGGGGGAAGGACTGAAAGGAAATACTTTAATGAGAGCTTAGCACAGCATCAAGGAGCAAACTGGATGAAGGCTCATAGACAAAGTGTTGAAAGGGAGGCAAGTAGCTTCTGCTTCTGTGGCCATCTTACTAACTATTTAAAATAAGTTCATTTTTAAGAAAGTGTTTCCTTGTGCATCTAGTCATTAAATATCTGCAAAAAGGATTATAAGTACTTCAAATCAGAATGGAGATCACCCAATCAGGCTGGGGCAACTTGGTATTTAATTCTATTTAGTCAGTTGCCTCTTGAGGCACCTGTGGCACACAAATCACTGAGGTGGGAGGTGGGAGTTCATGCTGTGTGGCTCCAAAGAGCAGCCCCTGAAACTGTCCAAAAAATGACATTACACCTACAGTGTTGGAGAGGAGGATTTTGGGGTGGGTTGTGGTTTGGTTGTTTTGTTGTTTTTTTTTTTGCATGGGAAGTCATATATGGCACTTGTTTTCAAATTTATGGAGAAGTATTCATTTTTAGTGCAATACATCTGTGGAAATCAGAAGGGACCTTCAGAACAAGGGTGAGTCTGTCTGGGATCTGAACAGAAAAGGTTCAGCTCTGTAGGTTGCCCACATTTCTTGGAAGAATTTCTGAGCTTCATCTCTTTAACCCTCACTTTAGAGACAAG